TTAGGATAGATCCTCAGGGAAGAATAAATAGGAAAACGAAAATGGGTTATCGGGTTAATTGTTTGATAATTAAACATATTAACTATATTATTATGGGCTGAAACCCCTATGTTCTCACCAGGTTTCCCAACCCGACCCAATCAGTTTCTTGTATCACAGGTAGCGATACGAAGACACTGATAGATAATGTAATTATCTGCTGATAAATTTAACGAGTTCATAGGCTACTAAAATATTGATGTAAGAACTGTTTATGCTTATCTTCTTATATTAGTTATGACATTCAAAGTTTTAATAATCATTGAAAAACATTTCTATAGAAATAATTTTATGGGATCAAATTCCGCATTAATAAATAAACTCTGGTTTTTAATAAGCATAAATGAATGGTGGTGGGGGGTGGTGGGCGTGGTGGTTGGTGGTGGTGGCGGGTGGTGGTGGAGGTGGTGGTGGGTGGTACGTAGTGGTGATGGGTGGTGAGTAGTTTTGGTTAGTGGGGTTTTTAATTATTTGTAACAATTGATTGATTTTTATAAATATTATTTTATAGTTTTAATTAAAAAATTATGTGGTCAAAATTTGTTCTCAAATGTTCTCGCAATAAGAAATGTTTTCGATTGAACGCTCCTATATATATATATATATATATATATATATATATATATATATATATATATATATATATATATATATATATATATATATATATATATATATATATATATATATATATATATATATATATAGGCAACACATTGGTTTTGATTGGATGGCTACTGGGATGAATTTGGATAGATGGGGCATCGATTTGCAGATATTTTCTTTTTTGCCCGGTGGAAAATGAGATTCGGAATATGGTTGCGTTATGGTAGGAGGTACAAATTCCGATTAAAACAAATTTGAGGTCCCTGATTGCAATGACATAATTATAGTTTGGAAGTCAACAAAAAGAAGTGGCTTGATGTAATGGTTCTCATTACTCTATGGACGTTTGGATATCTCTTCTTTATCTCTGTCTTCTTCTCCTCTAATAAATGAAGATTTTTTTGTCATATGTCACACTCTCATTCAATTTGTCATTTTTTTGTCATATGTCACACTCTCATTCAATTTGTCAAATGTTATTTTGTGGTTATTTTAATTTTTTTTTCCACATGTCATTTTATGAGTTTTTCTATTTTATTAAATTCCACATAATATTTTAGTATAATAATAACAATAAATATAGTAATAAATAGATATCAATTTCATTAATGGACTTACCTTCTAATTTTAAAATTTTAAAATTAATGTTCATTAGTTTCTTTTGTTTATTTATTTAAATTATTTGCTTAAATTTAAAAGATAAAAAAACATTTCAATTTTAATAAATCATTATTTTTCTTATTTTCTTATAAATCCACAGTTCTCAAATATTTAGATTTTCATATATATATATATATATATATATATATATATATATATATTAAAATTAACCCTCGTAATACATGGATATCACACAACTAGTTCTTAATAAAATACTTCTAGACCAGCCACATGTCATCTTTTAAGCACTACCTTATGCTACACAACTAGTCTCTATTCTAATAAAAGAATAAGTTTATTCTCCTATTGACAAGTGTGATATTATTAGAACTTCTCATTAATATTATATGTCAGTTATCATGCCACTTGTCAACCTATTAATTATCGATTTCAAATTTCAAAATTTAAATTTCCCACTCTAATTACATCAAATTAATAATTGATTTTCCATTTTAAATTTCAAAATTTAAATTTTCTCACTCTAATTATATCAAATTAATAACATTAGATTAAAAAATAAAATAAAATAAATACAGATTATAAGGTGGTATAATTCACGTATTTATTTAAATCAACGATTATAATTTTATATAACTAAAAAAATATCTCTTAAATAATAATTTATTTAAAATAACTGATTAATATTTTTGCTTTTTTAATATGAAATTTTAATTAATTTTATAACTATGGTTCTCACGAGTTATAAACTAGTTCTTAATAAAATACTTCTAGACCAACCACATGTCATCTTTTAAGCACTGCCTTATGCCACATATCATCCCACCATCATTCTACTCTCTCATTTTCCTGCTTAGTGATTCCTATATCCACAGACATTCAATTCCTAAATATCAACATTTCTGTTGTATCATCTATTGACTCAATATTCAGAAATCATTATTTTCATTATCTAATATCCTAATTTAGTTGCACTCAATCCATTTGAATCCCTACAATAAAGAAACTCATATTTCTTAGTCCTGAGTGCAAGCTATTATTCATTTGTTTTGGATTTATTTTGGATGGCGACGTATCCCATAAAATCGATAATCAATCTTCCAAAATCCGAAAGTAAGTAGCAAGAAATCAGGAACCTAATCTTTTCCAACTTTGAATCTGATACCCTATGCATTATGTTGAAGTCATATATACCTCCAAACACACCTTATTTTTTATTACAAATTCATCTACAACGAAGGTAATCGACATCAATTTCTTGAGCTTTTCATTATATCAGAGTTAATTCTATCAAAACATTATATTTTTTAACTTGTGTCTACTTCATGTACAATACTCAAAGCATTAATTCAAGAGCAGCTTCAGAGAAGGTGTCGTGTTACCAAAAATCGCATGTAATTTTGTTTATAATGGTTTTTTCCTATCGATTGTTACTTAGTTAAGAAATTACTACTAATTTCTTCTTTTAGGTACTCAAGCTGCTCCTAGGAAGATCGATGTTGCTGGCTGCAGTAAAACTCAAAGGAATCACATCTAAATCAACTATATAGGTATCAATCAAGCAAATTTCCTTTAAGGCGATTAGCATAGGTGAGCATCGTTTGGAGCTGTTAATCATGTAGTTTGTTCTAAGGTTTTTTTTTAGGAAATATGTTATTCTGATTTATGGATGATGATGATGATGCATTTGTCAGTTTGTGATGTTAATCATATTTTCCTTGTATCGATCCTTTATACTCTTCCATATGATATACTTAGATTTTATGCTTTCATTTTAAAGTGTTTTAAATTGTGGGCAGGATTATGAAAGTGAACAACTGCAAGTATCTGACCACGGTAAAACCAGTCTCCAATTAGCCAGATTGAAAAAATTTACAAACTTCTTGCTCAATATCTCTTTGAATATCAACAACAAAGTTTGAAAATAGTCAGATACAATCTTTATTACTTGATATGAGGGCAAATGTGCCCTCAGAGACCTTTCGTAGGGACATGAGTAGAAAGATACACAATCTTTTCATTCACGATTATCTTTTCTAACTTTAAGTTTTTAACAAAATTATTTATGAAAAGAAGCCACTATTCGGTCATACTCTTAACCAGGGCACATTATAGGTCCTCCCCTAAAGGTAAAAATGAATATGGTACAAGATCATATCCTTCAAATCTTGATGGACCAAATTTCTCCAGATTTGGGAACTATTTTGGACCATTATATGTCATACATTAATGTTCCAAAGTATCTACAAAGTCCAAAGACCCTAAGTGTTAGTGTATTTACTTTCATCATTTGTGTATTATAACATCTTATATTCACTTCTTCTTGATTACCATATTTCACTCCATTAAATTGCATTTGACACCGTGCAGAACGTGGAAATAATAAACAATCACCTAAACTATATTGTTGTTTCTTGCAATCGACCGTTTGAAGAAACATATCTGAGCAGATTTTGTGCAGTGATTTTCTGTTAATGGTAATGTAGTTACATTTTCTATAAGTTTATTGTTTAGATGTAGGTGGTGAAAGTACGTTGTGCTCTTAGGAATTATGTTAATGATTCCATAAAAAATATGCATTTTCTTTATAGGAATTGCAATCTTTGACCATGAATAGTTGTGAAAACACATGTTTTGGTTTATTTATTATTTGAAAATTTAAAAATTCCTTTTCGATAAATTGAATTTGCAAATGAAATTTCCTTGATCCGAAAACCGGTCTTTGAAAAAACATGATTTTTAATTTCTTTTTAATATGGCAAATTTATTTTTCTATATTTAATATCGTTAAATTGATATTTTATTGTTTGTTAGATAGTATAATGGTCATTTACTTGTGTTCAAATAGTTTATTAGGTTAAAAAAAAACAAAGTTTATGTATGGAAGACTTAGGGTTGTTTTTTTTGGATGAATTAAGTCTTGTATGGATAAAACTACTCAACGACTAACGAATTATTCCTAGATAAAGTCACATATAGAAAATCATGTTTCTTTTTCTAACCAAATAAAAAGTCTTCAAAGAAGTAAAAGATTAGTTTACCCTCTCAACATACTTGATTATATAAGCAACCTGTAAAGATTCAAACAAGAAAACCTGCTAAAATTTATCAAACACCATAAATCAAATGAGAAAATCAACCAACAAAAATTGGAAACCAAACATCAACATATCTTGAAAGAACATTAAGACCAAAACTAATAATGGACTGAGAAAAAAGTAGAAAAACAATGACCACACAACAAAATTATCACCACAAGTAGAAGAAAAAAAGATAATATTAATCATCAAAATTCCAAAAAGAAAGAATTAAAAAGAAAGATCAAAAAATAAATTTATAAACATCTAATTAGATTTAAGACCCATATATACTCATTTGAATCAAATATTTTGTTATGATATTTAGTTTTTAATGTATAAGCCACAACATGCAAATATAACATACATGTGGAATCACATAAGAAAAAAGACTCAAACATATATAAAGTGACCACTTCGCACTATGTGATCCACTAACAATAATTGTTTCATTTTTTCGACCTGCTCTTTCTAGTCTCACTTAATAAAACTCAGTTGGTTATTCAACAAAAATAAAAATGCTCATTTCCACATAATCTCATATTTAGCCCTCAGTTTCTACATAACTACCTGATTTACTCTCTCATTCTCTCTAAATCCTTTGTACATATTTACAGCTTACGAATGCTAATAGTAGAAAACGTTGGAATTATCGAGTTCTTAAAACAAATTTGTTCCAACCTTAACCGGCAACCCAACATTTTGATAAACCTTGATCTCACCACCCACTCCCGCAGTCACAATCACCAACCCCCACGCTGTAGACTGTGCAGTACTGTTATTACCACCATCTAACCGCGACGACGTATCACCGGAATCGCTAACCCCGATACTTGACTCATTACGAGAAGGTTGTTCTGAGTTGTCTACATTGGAATTTGAACCTTTTTCTGTACTGTTTTTAGGAACTGGTGGCAACTGTGATGATTTCTTAGCTTGTACGTTATCCTCTGACTTTTGAGGATCTGGACCAGATCTTTTGGAGTGTCGGGTGGATTGTGGTTCATTGTCTAACCTTTGAAGTTTGCTGCTTCCAGACCATGGTACTACGACAGTAACTTCTGTACATGGGAAGTGTTCATAAGAAGTAGTGGTCACGTATTTGGATTTAGCACCACCACTACTTTTTGGTTTTTCATGCTTCCAAATGAATACTTGTGAGTCTTCACTAGCACAAATTATGTACTTCCCATCTGAACTATATTGAGCTAAAAACTGGCTACTAGTATTTCTGTAACCTGTAAATGAAACAATGCCTTTTTATCGATATCCAAAGGAGGGTTTTTGTGAAAAAAATGAAAAGGAGGGAAAGGGGTACCTATGAGTTTATTCACGACATGTGACCCTTCTAGAATTCTAATACGGGAGTCCGCAGAAGTGACCAATATTTTCAGATGGGTTTGATGGAGAAAACTACATGTCACAAGATTAATTAATTAGATGGCTTAAGGCATGTATATAACAAGAAAATGTTTTACTTATGTTAAGAACAAAGTCATTATTGTCACCTGAAAACCGGTTATCTTCTTTGGGTCGGCTTTTGCTTTGGTATGCAACTCAATTTGATCCTTTTGCTCGAGTTTGCAATCTAAAACATAATATTAGGATAAACTCGTGTAGAACAAAAAATTGAAATTTTTTGGTATTTTATATGAAGAAATGAATGAATCATCCATACCAGCAGTACAATATGCCTTGCAATCCCCATTGTGTAATCCAACAACGGCGCCCTTTAATTGAAAATAACAAGATTCATTACATGTAAGTTAAAGATTTAACCATGACGAATTATGTATGAGATCTTAGGGATCAATATGAATACCATAACTATTTTGTAAACCAATTAGCATAGGTTGTACCTGCCCATCAGGATAATAGCATACAGCAGTTATCATGTCGTGAACATCACTCCAATCTACGACTTTTCGACTGGGTATGCTCCACATTCTAACCTTTGTATCTAATGAACCACTTATGAAGTAATTGTCATCTGTTGGATTGAAGTGTATGCAAGTCACTACAACAAAAAGCTCTCCCTCATGAGATTCAAGAGACACTTTCTTGAAAATGCAATCATAAACTAAAAATTTAGAATTTATTTGGGTACCATAATCGCTATGGGTAAATTGTTTCAGACACTTCTTGGTTGCCATATCCCAAAGTCTTACAGTTTTGTCCATGGAAGATGAAAGCAACAACTGCCAATTAATGATCACAGAAATCTTGATTTTATATTGACAATAATATACATAGCCATAAGAAAATTAACAGAAATGGAAAACTGATCATCACCTGAGATTTTGACCAAGATAGATCCAAGACATCATCTTTGTGGCCTTCTAACGTACAAATGGGTATATCTGATAGCCCAAACATAGTTTCGGGCACCTTTGCGTAATCAGGAACCCCTTTCTTTTTACTGTTCTTGGATTTCTTTTTCTTATCTGAGGGCATGGGTGAACTATCTGGTAATGGTGGCCTATTATCAGGAGTAATTGAACCCTTGTCGACGTCTTCTAATCGCATTGACATAACATCGCATTCTTGCACTTCCCAAATATTGATAACTTTATCTTCCCCAGCGGTGGCTAGATATTGACCATCAGAACTGAATCTCATCGTCCAAATCGATCCATCATGAGCCAGCTGGATTTCTTGACATAGATGCAATGCTGAGAATTCCTTCACGGGTTTACCATGAGCTCTAGCTTTCACCCATTCTGAATTGGAATTCTTGTCAGTTGACGCTTTCTGTTCTACACAAGTACACTTCTTCTGTCCTCCCCCGGTTTTCTGTTCTCCGTTAGGTTTCTGCTGTCCTCCGCCTGTTTTCTCATGTTCTACGGTGATTTTCTGCTGTTGATCTCCGGTTGTTTTCTGCAGCTCACGACTGGTTTTCTGTTGTTCTCCGCTGGTTTTTAGTTCTCCACTGGTTTTTGGCTGGCCACTGGTTTTTTGTTCTCCGCTTGTCTTAGAGGAAGATGAAGAAGTGTTATTTGTGGTGGTGGTTGTCTTAGTTGCTACGTTATCATCCTTTTCTTTCTCTACCTTCGATCCTTTCACTGAACTTTTTATGGTCTTCAATATTGCAGCCCCTTTCTTCTTGCTACTTCTAAAGCTCTTGCTAATTAAAGAATTGGTGGATGCCAATTTTCCGGTGGCGTTGCCATTTTTCTTGCGGCTTGTTCTCCGCATTAATTCCTTCACCATAGGTGAATGCCCGACGGTTTTCTCAAACTCGTCCATTGTGAGTTGCTTCCCCGTTTGAAGATCACTTACCTTATTCCAGCCCTCCTCATTCGTTTCTTTAACTACAAATTCTTTCCCTGTATCCAGATTCTTGATCAAGAAGAAAGAATCCAATTGTGTGTTAGTGGTAGCATTGTTAGTGTTGTCCTTGTTCTTGGCTTTAGCAACCGAAGACTTTTTTGTTTGTCCTGGTGTGAAACTCTAACAACGTTGGCATACTGACATGGTAATCCAACAATTGGTGTGACCAATTCAGATGATGTTCGTGTAAGGCGTTGCTTAGAAATTGATCCAATCAGTTCCTCTTTCCGTTGTTTCGTGTTGAAGGAACTTGTATCTATGTCACCATCGGATCTAGAACGGATTAACAGTACAGGAAAAGATGAATCTTGAGCTTGGGCCTGAACATGAGCCTGAGGCGCCGCCCGAGGTTGTGGTGGTTGTGGTTCAGGTTGAGACTTGGGATGGTGCGCCTTTGAATGAAGTTTAGCAGGAGCTTGAGACTGAGGTGGAGGTTGAGGTTGAGTCTCAGCCGATGGGAGAGACTCATGCTGCTTTTGTTCAACATGCTTCAATTCCTCTAAAGGTGGTGAAGATTTTTTTACGTTTGAAACAACATTTGGTTTTTCGTCTGCTATTTTTGTGTCTAGCGAAGTGATAACAGGTTTTGTCGAAACCAATCTTTTCGTATATGCTTTGTTGAATTTGTTGGTGGTTAATCGAGTAAAATCTTTGTCGTTGTTCAACCCCATATCCTCAAGAAGCCGCCTTCGTCGGTCGGTGATTGACCCGGGTGCAACCATCCACATGTCATATTGAGAATTAACCATAAAGTTTTGATTTTCCTTGACCTGATTTGATCGATGAAAGTTTGTTGGATAAAGAAACGTGACTACCATCAAAATCTTGGTCGTTTTCATCATAATCGAATTCTGATAAAGGCATGTCAAGGGGGACAACCGCCGAGAGACGATTCGTGCTTTCAAAGAATTCATCGTCTTCATCAATGAAGTCATCTAACTGATCCCACTTAATCGTCACCGTTCTCCTCTGCATTTTCACACATTTCTTGAAGAACAACACAACAGGGTTTCGTCTCGTACCGATTTGAATTTCCAAAGTTGTGTTTCTTTTGTTTTCAGGGAAAAAAAAAATTATGTTTTGTTCTTGAAAAATGAGAGGTTACGAGAGAGGGGCGAAGAGAAGTGGAAGAGAGAAAAGTAAGGGTGAGGGTCCGAGGGGGTGACGATCGTGGTTGTATTTTAGTGGATAACATACCCATATTTGGGATTTATGGGGAAAACTAGTATATATGCGTATATAGGACAATATTCATGGTAAATTTTTTTAATTTTTCCCATATATCATGCAAAATGAAAACATAATAGCATTCATAATCAACCGAATATTATACTATTTAATAGATTGATACAAACACGTTTTTGACACACTTCATAGTGAGTGTGCGGCCGCACACCCACTTGGCCGCACGCTCTGGCCGCACACACACAAAACCCATGATTTTGTGGCCTTACACTCCAATATAGGGCCATACACCCCTTATGTGCAACCATATGTGTTGGTGACACTTAATTCTAAGTGTTTTTATGTCCTTAAGGCATGTCCCTATCACCATTAGTAGTAATATACATTGAATGTATTTATATATGTGTAATTATATGTTAAATAGGATTCGTTTGTGCTCAAGACTCCAATTGACACCCAACAATCCTATATCGATCTTTCATTCGAATTACTCACTACAGGTGAGTTCATACCCCCTTAATCAACCTTTGAAATGAATTTAAAATGCTTTTATGGGGGAGAATACAAGTTGAAACATTCTAGTTATTGCATTAATCATATGTGATTAATAACTAGAACAAACAGAAATATTTTCTATTACATTCAAATTGTTGTCAAACTTATGGATTTCAAACACTTCAAAACATTTTAAACTCTTTTACATGCTAAATCCTTTATCAAACTCTTTTAAACTTATATTATAGCCAAACTCATGTCTATACAGATATATTTATATAAGTAAGATTTGAAGGACTTAGGACTGATAGCTCACTTTACTTCCTGTTCCTTGTTTGGTTGTGAACTTAGAGTATCCTGTTATTTGTCCGAATGTCGTTGAAAACTTAGTTATATATCATATATATGTGTTAGATATAAAAGTTTTTACTTCAGTTCAGTACCTTTGGGTAGCCAAAGGCAACAAACACATTACTAGTAAACTATAATATGTATAGTTTAAGAGATTACTACTCACTATTGCTAGTACAGCGAAGCATACGAGAGTCAGTACATTTACAAGCAATTACAAACGTACTATAACGAAATACAATACATACTATACACTATATAAGAGAGCATACTATACGCTAGTACAGAGAGAACATTACTACACTATGATATACTATACAAACATACGAATACGATAACTAGAATGGGACATAACTATTTTCGGATACAACAAGACCGTTGTTATCGTTTTGTAACCAGAGTCTCCTGGAGGGAGAGCGGGCATTGTGTGTATAGATCTATACAGGACAGACACTCCCACACCCCGACTGCTAGCTACAGTCCCAGCCGATAAGGCCAAGGGTGACAAAATGTCACCTCCTACATATGACACCGAGGGTCATCAATTATTCAGTCGTCGATCAGCATGGTTACATACGAGTTCACATTCAAACCTTTAATTAACCGACTAGAGATTAAAGGCAAGCAGACTCCCCGAGGTGTATTGTACATTTAATACTACCTGGAGTCTGTATTTTATTACTTTATAGCCAACAGTGTTACTGCTGAGGTAAAACATTATTTTCCCTACTACATTTACTTTGTGATCTTCTCACATATTTATAAATGTTTAAACTATGTTTCGTTAATAATAGACATATTGGGAAAATACACACTTTTACGCGGAATAAAACATACAGAACATGGTGCCTTGGTAGAAGGCCACTTTTAGTAGAAAATATAGGATTTTCTAGGAGATA